GCCCAGAGAAAGGAGTGAATTTCATCCTTGTTGGGGACAGCACTATCCGCTGTACCAATGGTAGTCAGAAGACTGGGACCTGGAGCAGCCCTGCCCCACGCTGTGAACTTTCTATTCCTGAGGCTCACTGCCCACCTCCCCAGATCCTAAGAGGCAAAATATTATCTGGGCAGAAAGATCAATATTCCTATAACGACACTGTGGTATTCGCTTGCGTATCCGGCTTCAAAATGAAGGGCAGCAAGGAAATCCGATGTGATGCCCAAGGCACATGGGAACCATCGGTACCAGTCTGTGAAAAGGGTAGGTATCCCCATACTTGGAACAGGTGCTGCTTATTCATCCATTTGAAGCATAAGAGAAGGGGTTACGGACTTCAGCAGGGCCTTTTACAGTTTCCAGTCTCCTCAATTACACTGAATATAGTGAATATAAATTATATAGAAGTTTTTTTTTAAACACTCTCTTCCATTCATTTTGTGGGAGTATCATTGGGGAAAAAATATTAGGGGTCACTAAGTTGCCCATTTCTTTAAGGAAAAAACTGGCAAAGATGCTTGTTTGTCTTAACAGTGATTTCTTAAAAGAGATGTCGGCAAAGACTTTCCCCTACAGGGAAATCTCACATTAAAATCATGGAAGATGATTCCTTAAAAAAGGAAGAGACAGGAGAGGAGTTGGTGTACATAGAGAGAATCAAACAAAATCTGCAGCAGCCTAAATGCAGAAAATTAAAAAAAAGATTGAAAACCACAGATTTAAAATTACCTTAAACGAGGCTGCAAGATAACTTTTGTACCATACAACTGCCACCAAAGTGGAATTGTAGCATTAATGTTAATTTCTTTGGCTCAGTTTCTCTCTGTTGTAGTTTACATCAGAAAAATTCTCTGCCTTTTCTTTAGATTGTCAGGCTCCTCCCAGGATCCTCCATGGGCAAACGAAAGACAGACACATGATCCACTTTGGCCCTGGAACATCCATCAGATACAGCTGCGACCCTGGCTATGTGCTGGCGGGAGAAGAATCCATACGTTGTACCTCTGAGGGAGTGTGGAGGCCTGCTGCCCCCACATGCAGAGGTAGCAGGCTTTGGATGCAGATGATTTTTTATTTTGAGATTCCTTGAGTTGATTTCTTATCCTAGTCTCTTTTCTTAGTGGCAGAGTGCGAACCCATAGGAAAGCAAGTCTTTAAAAAACCCGAGGCCCAATTTATTAGAGCAGATGTTAACTCTTCTTGTGATGAAGGGTAAGTGAGGGCTGTTTCAGCTTGAACTAGGTCTGACTCATCAGTGCATACTGCAAGCTCTGTGTAAAAGTTCATCTCCGAGACCACCTCCCGCTCCATCACGTGTTCGTGGAAGCATTGATCACTCTGTTTTTCCATTAATGGAACCTGTGCTATGCCATGGACAGGTCGTGCTGATGCTGTGCACATTTTTGTTCCTATTGCTT